TGAAAATGAAACGTTTCAGAGAAAAATGATGAGTTTTGTACCTAAACCTTGTATTTCGAAAAATATTTACGATGTATGTCAGTTTTAAAATTATTTACAAAAAAAAATAGTAAAATTGGTTTTTATATGGCGTGTGGATTGAACCCTATCTCTTTCTATAAAAAATAAACAAAGAGAAAATTAATAAACATATCTTATTTGGTTTACTTAACGAAGAACAAGACCGTCAACGTTTTGGAAAGCATATGCAAAAAGAATAACAATCGCACAATTTATATCCTATCATTGGTCGATGTTGTTCTTACGGAGGAAGAAAGGGATTTCACCAATGGTGTGCTTGATCATCAATTGTAAAGCAATGGTTCCAATGTAAAGATCAATTCACATAATTGTATTAATGTAAAGATCCTTTAAGACACAACATGTGAAAAAACTTCACTGTGGTCACGAAACCCTAACGTTTTGCCTCCCTGTCTTCTATTGCATCTTAATTTACTGGGAAACAACGTTCTAGTTGCATTAATGGTGTACCCTAGTAAAACCTAACTTATAACAGCTTACATGACTATGGGCGTGTTCGGTAAAAGTAGCTGGTAGTGAGTAGCTTGTAGTGGGCAACTTGTTGCTGGTATCGTTTTGTTAAATGCTAAGTAAAGTAGCATTTAGGTTTTGAGTGTTTTGTTTAAACTAAACGTTGGAAGCTTGTAGTTCCAAATGAAGCTCTCTGTTCAAAACGGAACGTTTGTCAAATGCTAGAAGCTAGAAGCTCTCAAACGTTCCGTGTCGAACACGCCCGAATTAATATACATTATACTTGCAAAAACTAAATTAGACCCTTCACACTTTCTGTCTTACATGATTAACAAATATTCAATCATCTTTTGACAACATGTTCCAAAAAATTTGAAATTCAGTTTCCTAATTTTTCATTTTTTAGTGGATACGTGATGATAAACAACAACTACCCAAAAATTGGGTTTATGTTTTTGCAACTGGAATGAGCAAAACAAATCCTAAACAAAATTGCTATCCTACACGACTTTCGATGAATTAAAAACATGGAGGTTTATGAAGTAGAAACTTGCCCATCATACATGCGCACCGACCAAGTAGTTTATATGCCGAGCAGGGTAAAATGCTAAAGAACTCACAACTTAGGGTTTATTGTTGTGATTTCTTTTGTTTTGATTCTTAAAAACCCTTTCTTATAACTTTTGAAACTTCTATTTTTGATTCAAAATAAAATTTCAACCACTAGGAGAAAAAAATCTGTTCGGTTTTAATAAAATCATCTTTTTATCATATATTTTATGGTAAACTTTCAAAAACCGCTTAACCTTATAGGTGTAGGACATGTTTGACAAAACTAGCTAATATTTGCTAGCTGTAAGCTGTAAGTTAGAAGCTAGAAGTTGGAAGTTGTAAAGTTTATTTGTTATATGAGTGTTTAACAAAAGTAGTTGAAAACTTTTGAAATGTGTAGAATTACGTAAAATGAAAATTTGTTTAAAAAGATAAATATATAAATATAATTTTGAGGACGTTTATGGAAATTGATTCTAAAAGCTTAAGAGTTTTTTTTTAAAAGCTAAAAGTCTATACTGCCAAACGAAGTTTCTTTGTTTAAATCAAGTATTTTGTTAAAAACTAAAAGCTAAAAGTTAAAAGCTCTCAAATGCTCTTTGCTAAACACACCTATAATTTCATTTGTTGATTTGGTGTCTCATAGATAGAGTTAGTAATAGGTCAACTTGGGTTGGGTTTGAGTTTAACCCGTTTATTAATTGGGTTGAATATTTCAACCCAACTCAACCTCTTTATTTAAATGGGTTTGTATTTCCAACCCAACCCAACCTTTCAGATCAATGGGTTATCATCGTGTTGATATGTTTATGTGGTTCCCAATCTAACCTATTAAATAAATGTGTTAAACTTGGTTAATCTATTTAAAAAAAAGTAAATAAATTATCTTAAGATTACACCACTTAAAATAATTCCAAACTTAAATAAAATTTCAAAATATGAAAAAATGACAATCTTAAATCATAAAAACGAAATTGTTCAAGTAACATTAAATATATTCAATTTCGAAGTAATTTTAGAGAAAGGCTAGTGTTGTTGGCGCCAAGAAAAAAGATAGGAATTACAATTAATTTTTTTAAAAACATAAATAATAATACAACATTGTATTTATAAACTAATACTTATATTAATACATGGTAATAATACTTATACTAAACTAATACTAAGCTATCCAGAGAAACCCGAGAAGATCTTGGATCGTAAGATAAAGAAATTAAGAAATAAGGAAATTATATTTGTTAAAGTGCAGTGGCTTCACCATAAAGGCTCCGATATGATGTGGGAATCTAAGAACGATATGAGGGAGAAATACCCTCACTTATTTGGTTAAAAGATGTGGGAATCTAGCCAGATTTCGGGGACGAAATCTTTTGTAGTGGGAGGTAATTGTAATACCCGTTTCTTAGCATCGAGACTTATATTATTATTGTGTTTATTATCAAAGTAAATTGTGACATCTGTTGTGATAAATTATGCCTAAATGAGTGTTCTTGAGTAAAAGAATTGGCATTGTAGATGTTATAGTTGAAAGGATAGTTTAAGAATCAAAAATGTGTGAAATGTAGCAAAAACCAAACCTCAGGACGTGAATGAAGAAGCTCATGACGTGACAGTGAAAGAACGATGATTAAGTTACGTATGTGAACATGAGTAGTAACCTACTTTGTTATCTCACGATGTGAAAAGAGTGGCTCACGACGTGAGCAAAGTACAATACTTGATTTATTTTGCGAAGGACCTTGTTTTGTCATAAAACAAAAGTGTCAGGAAAAAGGAGACTCACGACGTGAGCCTAATGCTCATGACGTGAGCCCGAGCACACCATAAAAAAATAATTCCGTCTTAAAACAGGGGTATTCGAACCCAAACATGAAAACATGCACTTAAGGTGTGAAAACCCCAAATTAAACCCTAGAAGTCAGTTCTTGAGGAGATCACTTGATTTAAACAACCAAATGGTGGATTAAGGTAAGAATCACTTGATGTAATTTTTTTTTTTGTGAAAGGAAGATATGGTCTTAATAGGTAAAGACATATGATACTATTCATTTATATGATAGTAAAACTGTATGAGAAAGTTATTTATGGATGTTAGATAATTGAGAAACATAGAATTAAAGATTTTAAGATGTTATATTGACCATGATCATAAATTCAAATCGTATGAATGATTTAATAATTAGTGATCTTGAAACTTTATTAAATATGGAATCAAGAAAGGATTCTTGGAAGGGAGGATAAATTGTTGGAGGATCATCCTCACAAACCATAACTAAGGTGAGTAACTTCCTTTTACTCATAATGATAGAGGTTTATTGTTGATTTTTTATGTAGTTTATTATAATTATTCGATTTTATTTAAAGATAAAAGTTTACTTGAATAAAGATTTGGAAAATATGATGATTAAATGAGAATTTAGTGATATGATTAGAGAGGTCACGTTTACAAGTGAGATGATTGGTAAAATAATTAAGATCAATGTTTGAGAATGTATTGATCAACTATATGATTGAGATGATATCATATGACGTTATATTTGAAGATGAATTAGTGATATATGGAAACGAGAATTCCATATGAGATTATTGAGTTGATTACACGAGACTTGTATTAAAAGACGAGTTAGTATTAGTGACTGAAATTATGGAAAAGATTATTCCATAATCAATGAGTAATGATCATATTATAATCTCTATAAGAGATTATTGTTATGATAATGAAATAAATATGATAATTGAGAAATACCATCTTGTATTAATCGGATGGAAATGATGTATCATTATGGCCACAACTATTACTCACTAAGCATTATGCTCATATTATTGATTATTTATGTTTTCAGGTTACCGACATATGGATCGAGGGAAGGCAGTGAAGGTGTAGTCATGTTTTGGAAATCAACTTTTAAAACTTAACTTGATTTGTAGATATTGTTCCTTTTGTAAACCTGACTAGGTCCTGTAACGTTTAACTATGTATGATATAAAGTTGTGACTTATGGTTAATGATATGTACACTTTTGGTTAAAAAAAATTAGTGTACTTATTTTAGCCGGGTGTTACAGTTATTTTCTATTACAACATTGTACTAATTTTTATCTTCTTACAAAGTACTAAAAATCTACCCAATTACAACAAGAAAAAGTATTTTATATTTAGATAATCGTAGAGCTAGGGGAGAGGACAAGACTATAAACTATGTCTAAGGTCCTGTTTGATAGTTTTTGTCTCGGAAAGTGGAAAGTTTTCTGACTGGGAAAGAAACCATGCTGTTTGATTGTACATCTGATTGAATGCGCTGAATGATGAAAAAAAGTAATGATTCAATAAAAAATAAATGAAAATTTTTTTTATAAAAAAATTAATAATCCAATAAAGAAAGAAAGAGGCGGGGTTTGGTGTATAATTGTCTTTCCAGCCCATTCAGCCGGAAACATATGATTTTGGGGCTTTCTGGGAAAGATATATCTTACCGGGAAAGACCCCTTCTTTTGTGCAAAATAAATAGTCTTTCCGGTCCATTCAACCAGAAAGATCTATTTGGACCTGGAAAGATGCGTATCAAACGGGGCCTAAGTGTTGAAGATTTTTTTTTGCAGGCTAAGGAAGTGAAATGCTGACATACTCTGTGACACAAATTTGTCGGACTTCTGGGAGTTTATGGATGCTGATCATTACTTTCCAATATTAAGCAAAGTATCATGAATGCAATACGAATGGTGGGATGCCCATTTATTCACCAACATTCAATATTATTTGTCATTAACAAAACCAATTAATCAAACAAATCAAGAAAAGGAAGAGAATTCAAATACTCTTGTAATGACGAAAATTTAAAGCTAAATTGCAATGTAGTAAAAGATTCTTACAAATTACGTCTTAGAATTCAAGTACATCATTTTTGCTTTTGGCGATGCTCAAGGGAACCACATAACATCCTTAGCAATGTCATTAGCATCACAAGTTCCACTTCGAGTGATGCTAAACTTCTTGAGAGAAGGAGAATAAGCAAGAAGAAGCTTTAGAAAAAGCATTTCCGGTTTTGATCCTTTTAAATGTCTCATCTCAACAATTTGCAATCGATCCAATGTACAGTCCAAGCAGTGTGGGGATTCTAAATGATTTGAAGCTGGTCCCACATCATAACGATCGACTCGACATTCCTGGAAGAAAAAAAACATAAAAATGCAACAACAATAGTTAGCATCCAACATATGTGTATATATATACATCTACCACTGGTTACTTAAGTGTCTCCAAAGTCTTCACAGACAAAATTTCTAGATTGGGCGAGTTTCGAAGCAAACAAAGAGCACCATGAAGTTGATCCAAATCACCAAGTTTAAAATTTAGAAAGAACAATCTCTTTAAACTATTGACCGGATGTGGAAGCCATTTTGGAATCTTTTGTGCAATCAAAACCTGTGAAGCGAAAGTGAGATTTCAACTTACCAAAGGTTAAACACAAAAAGTTCACTTTTTATCATACCGTAAAGAAAATACGGTCGTAAACAAAACCTCTCATTTTAGGCAAGTTACTTAACGTCATGGCCAATTTCATTCTTTCAACTCCTATAAACTTTCCCATGGGTTTTCGTAAACACAAAGCAACATGACTATAGAATAAGCGACGAAACATGGCGTCAGGACAATCTAAAACATGTAAAACTTGAAGTTTTGTAGCCTTGATGTTGAAATTGTAAACATTCGTGCATGTATCCAGGCACAACCTTTTCAGCTTTGGTAAGTTGATCCGAGCTCCACTAAAGTTACCAGTAAAATCAATAGTTTGTAGATGAAGATGTTGAAGATCGATAAATCCTTCAAACCCAAGTGGTGGCTTGAACAAACAGTTTTCCAGTTTCAAGTTTGTCAATTCTAGACAAGAAAACATATACCGAGGAAGTTTATAAGATTGACTTGAACTAGTAAGGATGAGTTCCTTGACACCATTTCTCAATAAGAGCATCATCCATTGATCAACGTCTTCAACGCCATATGAAAACTTATTCATATTTGGTATATGGAGAAGACATTTTGAGATAGGACCCTTGTGAAGGATCAGAACTTTGTTTATGATCCTTATAAATTTACGACCAACAGGTGCGATTTCTACATATTTTTTGAAGAACTGCTCATCAAAAATCAGTGCCCCCATTTTGGTCCATCTGTACCTCCATTTTTTTGATATGATACTTGTCCTCACATCATCTTGAACAGGGAGTCGCTCTAAGATTGACTCTATCAAGTGTTCAGGCCAGTTATTGATTTTATCTTCTTCAGCACAAGTCACAAGCCCCACTCCATAATTCCCTGTCATATTCAAGGAAAAATCAGGAGTAAGTTATTTTAATATAAAGTGGAATATAATAAGAAAGAATGAACAACTTGACCTTTCTAAAACTCTTCTTATAATATACTTTCATTATCAATGAAGGTTTTGGGTGTGGTATCATATTCATCAGAAAGAAACTATTTTATTTTCAATATTGATAATTTAATGGTTGTAAGCTTTGTTTAAGGAAATGCGACTCGCATATTACACTTTTTAACCCTAATATATGATAATGCAAGTGTCTTAAGTAAAATAATGGTTTATAAGAGAGTAACAGAACACCAAAGGGAAATCTCAATAATGTAGTGTTTGAAAAGAGGAAAATCTCAATAAGTGCAAATTGTAATTTTTTTGTCCCACTGAAAAGTAGTGTCTTGTGTATGCAAAAGACGTGAATGCCCTCCTCATCCTCGTCAATAAAATAAAAATCCTCAAATGGAAAGGTGGATGAGTAGTCCATAATGATATAGATAGTATCAAAGTAAAAGTTGGAGGATATTGACATAGGGTATGTAGTGATGAAATACACCAAACCCTAGAGGGGTTCAACTCTTTATGTTTTTATTGCATTTTACAGGGATACAATTTCTTTCAGGTTCAATCTGGTCTATCTTGAAGCTACAAGTTGCATCAATGGCTTCCACTGGCAAAATCGAGCTTAAATCAACTCAAAACTAATGAAATTACATGAACACATAATGTGATTTCCACAGGCAAAACCTAGCTTATCCTTTCGTATTTGCTTCCTTGCATAACTAACAACTATCTAATGATCTTCCGAACGCATGTAATGAATTTCAAAATCGGTTACTTGATTTTTTTTTTCTAATGGAACCGCGATGAACAAAAGATATCATAAACAACATGTTTAAAAAAAAAGAAAAAAGATATCATAGACAACATGATTAATAAAAAGAAAAAAAAAGAGCTCGAATAAACGGATATAATTGTAGAAGGATATCCGGATTTTCTTTACGACTTAAAAAATTGAAATAGAAACTTACCCATCATGACTTCGATATACACACTGAGCAAGCAAGTAGTTTACCTTTCAGGGTAAAACCAAAATAGTTTGATCCAATGGATAGTATTATTTGGTTTAGTTAATTACATTTTTGGATGAGTCTCACCAAAACATAATTATTATTTTGAATTTTAGATAGATTAAAATTAAAGCTTTTATGATTTATAAAATTAAAGCTGAATAGTAAAAAAGATTATTATTTATTTATTTATATATATTTGTTTTGAATATACATCTTTTAATTATTTATTAATTTATTAAATTATATTTTTAAATAGAATAAAAGATATTATCCTATAAAATAATTTCATGTGTACTTCTCAAAAGTTTCTTGTCTATATAATATTTAATTATAATATACATTTTGAATAGTTGTTTATAAATTTTAATTTTCACCAAACTATTTATTTTTGTTTACATTTTATTAATATTCGTGTTGTATATCTTCTTAAAAGGAAAACTTCATAAAAATCGTTATAATTTACATTTATAATCGATTTAATTATTATATGTTCTTTTATTTGATTATGTTCTAAAAATTGAGAATTGTATTCAATTTGACTATTTTACGGGTTATCTCATTTTCAAAAATAATACTTTTAGTGTAGATTTTAAATTTTATTATAAATTTGGTAAAAATTTTACAATTTTGACCAATATTTCAAAATTTTGTTACGATTTCATCTTAAATTAATTTTTTTTTTTTTTTTACATTTTTTCTCCTTTTTTTTAAATATGTGTTATTCGTTATATAAAATCATATTTATACAAAAAAATATTTTTTTTATATAAAAACCTTCTTTTTTCTATATAAATTAAAAAAAAACATTTTTATATGCAAAATACATACATAAAAACCTTTTCTTAAAATTTTTTTATGCAAAATATGTATTTATATAAACATTATTTTATGTTAAAGACCTATTTATAAAAACATAGTTATGTGAAAATGTGTGAAATACTGTAACATCCCAAAAATCAAGGTAAAAATTTTATTTTTAAAATCTAACCAAAGACCATAATTGTTTTCAAAACACTGTTCTCAAAAGTAATAATAAAAAATTATGAGTATCCAAAAATCCAAAATCATAAAAACCGAAAGATGTGTACAATCATGCCTTTGCTTTCCCCCAATCATCTGGACTACCTTAAACATAAACTGAAAACTGTAAGCCAAAACTTAGTGAGTTCCTCTAAAGTACCACACACAACCAGAACATATACAATCATGCATGCTAGGTCCAATAAGTCATCGGACTGGAATACCCTTATGTCCACAAGCATCAGGTTGGATTACCCTTGTCCCAATCAGTCATCGGGAATGCCAATATGTAACGTGCCCATTCATTCATCGGACTGGTATACCCTCGGGGCCATAATCATCGGGTTGGAATACCTTCGGTCTGTTGGCTCACACACATAGCAAAAAAGCCTCAACCCAAAACTGTACTATGTCGACATATGCAATAGATAAACACATAACCAGTCAGCAAGAAATCAGACATATCTACAGATTACTACCGCATAGAAGCATCCTATATACCAGGATATAGATGTAACAGATCACTACAACATAACAACATCCTTTATATCAAGATACATATCTAACAGATTACTACAGCATAAGAGCATCCTATATACAAGGATAAAGATCTAATAGATCACTACAACATAATAAAATCCTATATACCAAGATACATAACCAAGTGGGCTAGCATTGGTGCCTTTGACCTGCATGTACAGTGAAAAAACTCACCTCATATTCTGGCGAAATAGTTGAACAACATGTTGCTCTAAGTACCAACTCTACCGACCACCTTACAACAAATAGTGACCAAAACTGAGACTATAGCGCAAAATACCGAAAATACCCCTAGGTCAAACTTGGTCAAAATCATGGTCAAAGGACAAAAGTTAAGAGTCAACTCAGACTGAGTACATCCAACATACTCAGCTCATATGCACGACATACTCACAATCAAGATACAGGGGCTAAAGAGAGTACATGCAGCGTACTTAGAAGTACGCCCAATATACTCCGCTGGCAACCTTTCCTTTTAAATGAGCTTAATCCATTAAGTCCTTTCATCAAAATCCCAAATCTAGTCCCTTAATAATGTTCTAAATCATAAAGTTTCCAACTTTATGATCTTGCATGGCCATTAATGGTTCAAATCTTAAAACTCTAACTTCCTAACCCATTAAGACATCATAACCTTTGCATAGAAAGACTATAAGGGCCCATATCACATTTTTATCACTCTAGACACTCTAAAACATCTAAAAGGACAACTCCTTTGGTCTAGAGTAGCTCATACTCAAATGGACCAATATTATGGGGCTAAGAAGCACAAAACTCCACAACTAGCAAGATCTAATGAAGTAACCAACAAGTTCAGAGCTTTATACCACTAAATGAAGATTTAGGGAAATATGCATGTGGATCCAAAGAGGTATTGAGCTTCTAAGGTGAATCCACTTCCTTCTTCCTCCCTCAAAGGGGTCTTAGAAGGGTATTTTTTTTGTTAATAGTAGCACCCCTAAGGCCTCAACCCTCTGGAATCAACCTAATGTACGAAATATTAATAATTACCAAAATTTGGTCACTATATCGTGGTTGCCCTCCACCGCGACGTGGTCCTCAAGTTTATCTCATATTCTCCAAGTCAGCGTTGGGAATCGTGGAGATTCAATTCATCACATCTATAACACCCAAAATCAGAAAGACCAAGAAAGGAAAGGAAAACCCTAAGTCAAAGGGGTCAACTCGTTGAGTCCATTGGTGAACTCAACGAGTTGGAGTAGGTTTTGTGTTGGGATTTAAGTGACCGACTCGCCGAGTCAGAGGGACTGACTCGGTGTATCAGGTATGGGTTGGGAATCCCTGATTTCCGGGCTTGTTGCCATATTTAAGCATCATTTTCAGGCCTTCACCCCAACCTCTATCACTCCCTTTACCTTCTCTCGAAACCCTAAGCCTCCATTGTAGTACTATCAAGCTTTCTTTATCATTTTTGGGTGCTTTGAAGTTAAAAGGAAGAAAGGAACCTTGGGTGATTCAAGAAGTGGTAGTGGACTCTATGTTGGTGTGCTATTTCAGATCATTGGAAGGTATGAAGCTCATACCTTGGTTGTTATTCATTTAGATCCCCTTTCCTAGTTAGATTTTGTCATTTTTAGGCCAATTCGTGTATTGTGCCTTTGTGAGCAAAAAGAACTTCAGATCTAGGATTGTCTTGGCCCAGAAACCTATAAAGTATCAGTCTTTAGTGTGTTGTGGAAGCATGCTTGTCTCAAACTCTAGCCCGAGAGTGTTTTAAGCCTATAGCTCCTTGGTTTCATGTAAAGTTTGCAACTTTACGTGAGGAATTGACTTTGGAAGAGTGGATCTATGAGTTGGAGCCCCTGCATGGCTCGAAAAGCCATTGTATGGATTAAGAACTGAAGCTACTCGGTGAGTCATATGGGTAGACTCGGCGAGTTGGATGAAGATAGGCAAGAACTCGACGAGTTGGAAGAACAACTCGGCGAGTCTGTCGAAGATTGCCGTGGATACTGCGAGTCTGTTCTTGGACTCGGCGAGTCTGGTTGCAGAACCCCCCAACCTTTCTGGTTAAGACTCAGATCAGTGAGTTGAGTGGTGATTCGGTGAGTTGGACAAGATAGGACTTAGAGATCGTCGAACTCGACGAGTCTTGGGGTGAGTTGAATGGTATTTTGGAGGTTTATGAGTCCAAGGACTCGGCGAATCTACGGGTTGACTCGGCGAGTAGGGTCAACCTGGAAGGTTGACTTTGATCAGGACTTTGACTTGGACCAGAGTTGACTTCGTTTGACTTCTAGAGTTCAGTTTGGGACTAAGTGTTATATTGATATTAGTAGCTTGGGGAGCTACTGGAGCAGCAATTCAAAGAATTGTCGGCAACAGCCAGAGGGTTATCAGCAAAAGTTCAGCAGTGTA